TATCCACAACTTCACAAGATAAGCATATAAAGCTCTATCTTCACTTCTCTAGACAAGCATATGAAGCTGTATCTACGGAGTTCATCCCCTATCTTCTCCCAACACTATCGCGGTTTAGAGGTAGCATCCCCCATCTTCCCTAAACCGCGGAGTACATCCCCCAATCTCCTCCTCTACACAATAACGTTATACAAACCATTGGTTCTATATACAATCACTCATCATATAATATAATGTATCTATCAACCGTCAAATTCATGACACATTCCATTGATTAGTTCGCGTTGGCCTAATCATCAGCATTGTCTACAACAATCACGACTATCCCTCCACCGATAGCCCAAAGCAATTATCTAACAGAAAATAAATGCACAATGGATATTCAATCAAACATTTCAATTTCCTCATTTCTCACAATTAAAATTATCCCATTTAATCAACAATGTAATTTAGGTCATTAATCCATAATTAACATTTCAACCCTTAGGTCCCATTTCCATCAATGATTTCAACATTTATTCATTCTCTAAATGCAAACATGGCATCTAGGTTTATTATAATAAACCCAACTTTTTTGTAAAATTGCACAAAAAGCCCCAAATTTCACCAAATTACCAAAACCAACCCCAACATCTCAAATACTAAAATTTAAAGACAAAACCCATAGAGAGGAGTAGGCTCCACTACCTCAAATCGGAGCCCCAAAGGAGAAGACGGCAAAACCGCAACGTGCCTCCAAATCTCAAAATTTTCCAGATTAAAAAAGTGCTCCTCGACGATCAACAACTTTTTGTAAAGGCCAAAAGATGAGCAAATCACCCCCTACTAGATCAAAAACCTAGAGAGAAGGTAGAGTTTCTAGGGAGAGGCTCACAATGGTGGTTTTGGAAAAGTAGGAGAGAGAAGAGAAAGTGAAAAAGTGAATTTGAAAAGTCAACACGGAACTTAAACCAGTCGACCTGCTCGAGCGTCAAACACCACCGCTCGAGCGTCACTCACAGACTCCCGCTCGAGCGCCAAACAATCCGCTCGGCGGCGAATACACATCTCCCAGAACTTTTTACAGACCGGTCTCCGCTGCGAGCTTCCAACTCCCCGCTCGAGCCGGCACTCACACACCCCCGCCTCGAGCGGCCAACTCCATGCTCGAGCGTCCAACACTGGCACAGGAAATACTGGATGGGTGCAATTCCCGCTCGAAGCGCGTCAAAACCCCCGCTCTGACGCAGAAACAGGCCAAAATCTGGGCAACATAGTTTTTGGTTTCTAAACTGAAAAAAACCCAACCCCCTGTTAACACTGCCCACACATCTATAACTTCAAATAACGAGTAAAGGAATGTAAACAGGATAATAATCATACTACCAACATCCATGGACACGTGTCCCGATGCAAACTGTACAACAAGGGTAAACCCGGGACGCTAAATAACTCTCACTCTCATCTCTCCTATATACTGTCTCTCACTTCATCTCTCTCTCTCACCACCCATCTCCTTTACCACCCTTCACCACTTATGGCAAAGCCATTCCACTACACTATACTCCTTACTGTCGCCACTTCTCTATTCTCTCTACGCTACCTTATCTACTACCATTGCCACTACTACTACCACTACTACTACCATTACCTCTCCTTCACCCTTGCCACTTCATCTACTCTAGCCACTACACAACTTCACTACTAATCTCCTTCGCGCGGACCACCACCCACCAACCAACCATTACATTTTCTATCCATCA